GAGCTGCTCACCCCTCGCTGCTCTGCCCCCCCTCCCTGCTTGCCGCTCAACTTTCAAATGGCGGTGGCGGCGGCAGCGCTCGCAGAGCGTTCCTACGCATGCGCAGGGGACGCTGTGTGAGTTTCGGGGGGATTTAAATCCCCCCGATTTTTTTTCAGGGATTTAGGATTTTTGTGCACACGTGGGGACCGCCCCACGTGTGCACAAACCTCTCCCTCCCCCCCAGGTGGCCCCGGAGCGCGGATTTAGATATCCACACAGACGGGGCCACTTGGGTACTAGATATATAGATAGAAAGAGGGGGAAAAGGAATGTTGGGCAATGGAGGGGGAAAAATGTCTCAATTTTACTCAAGTCAGTTTTGATGGCTCGGAGGCCCAGAGAGGCCTTTACAGGACTCAAAGGGGGGGGGGCCTTGAGAAATAATATTTTTTTGATGGTCCTGGCATGAAGAAAAGGTCCTAAGAAGAGATTTTGAGGTGGCCTTTTGAATGCACCCGAAAGAAAGGCAGGAGGGTCTCTCCAGGGAAGGAGGCTCCAGAGAACTCGTAGAGAAGGGCTGCTCGGTCAGCGTCGAAAAAGGCCACTCGCCCCCCAGCATAATTCAGGCACACTCGGATCCTCTTCGGCTCACCACTCAGGGTCAGGCAAGGGTTATGGTATTTTTTGGCAGCCCTGTACGTCCCTGACCACTTCCCCACAGCCCAGATCCCTTCCTCAGGAGTAATGGTGATGCCTCCCTTCCTTCTCACAGACTTTCTGGCCACCCCCACAAGCCATTTTTCCTCTCTTCCCACAAGGACTTCCCAGAAATGGCGGCCTCCTGTGAATCCCTCACGGCCCAGCACAGCACCAAATGGTCAAATCTCTCAGGCTTGTTGGGCAGGGCTTGAGCTATTTCTCCTAGTCTCACGCTTTCCCGACCCTCAGACAGGATGAGTTCAGGATGGGCCGTGTCTGGATCCAGAGTCACATTTGCTGTTGGGGGGAAATGAGAAGAGAAACGGCATCAGCTGGGGGATTTCACCCTCTGGCCTGTCCTGTTTCCTTCTCCTGCCAGTCATGGCCTCCCTCCCACCTCTGCCACCCTCTCCTTGGTCAACAGGCTCTCCTGCCTTCTCCCGCCCTATTAAAAGGCAGAAACAAAACACTGAATGAGCAATAATGATATAACTTCCAGTTAAAATTATAAATTATTCTTTAGTTCTATTTAGTGTACTTTTTGCAGTACTGTAGATGCATTCCATAGACTAAATAATATAATCAATGCAGTTAATTTACAGTTTCGTTACAGCCAATTTCCCTTAGAATATCATCTGGAATGGAAACTTGCAGCTGAGCAGACAAAGCTTCAGACGTTGTACAGAAATGAATCAGCGCTAAATGCTCATAGACATACAACTATCAAAGTCAATTCTTAGGCAAGGAAGACTTCTGGTTTTCGGTGCGGCAGTTGCAGACCAGCTCCGGGAGTCGTCCCATGAAGCTGTGCTGGATTGCCAAAGAGGAGCCCAAGCAGGGGGCTTGCTGCCAGACTCTTCGTGAGTGGCAGCAAACGGATTGAGTCCAGGATCGCCCTGAAGCCCAAACCCAAGCAAGAGCATCTGTGATCTCCACAGCAGCGGAGCCATGACTACCGGGGCAAGGGAAGACTGCAGACCTCACATTAAACTTCAAAAATCCTTAGCACCGTGAGTTCTCTAAAAAGCACTGAGATCAGAAGAGATTTAAACCTAGATTGGCCCTTTAAACAGGGGGGGAAATGGATGAGTGAAGGGATTTCTCCCCCCCCCTTTCTTAAGCAGCTTGGAAAAGAAGCACACAACTCGTTATTTTACATACTTGTAAGGGCAAAAAAGAAATGGTTGATGTCTGGATTTAACAGTTTACTGAGAGATTTTGACTCTTCAAGTCGTATTTTGAAGTTCTGAGACATTGTAGATTATAATATTGGATTATTTGGATTGCTCTTCACTTTTTAACCCCCCCTTTGGAATTATAATTTGGATTAATTTGTATTTTTATGAAGACATTTTATTGGATTACGGCCTATTTTAATTTTCCATTTGGAATATAAACTAAAGAACAAAAGACAAAGATCTTATATTGTTTGAAATGAAAGAAGAAAAGAAGAAAAAAGTTGTTTAGAAACTGCCTGGAATTCACTTTCACTTTCCAAACATCACTTCCGCATAAGATGTTTTAAAACTGGAATTGTTATGTCTTTATATGTTGTTCTTATCAAAGCACAGTCTGTTCAAAGTGTAATGTAAACTGTTGATAACTGTCCTTGTGTTTATACTGATTTGGAGGGTCAGTTTTCGAAAATAAGCGAGTCTCTGGTTTTAACATAGTAACTACTGTAAAACATACATTTAAAGGTATTGATTGGGAAAGTGTTGTGGGCAATTAAGGCCGAGTTCAGACTGGCAGTTTGGTCCAGGAGCAAAACATTTCAGGAGCGTTTCAGGAGCGGATTAAAGGGGCGGGTTCACACAGCCACATGTGTCACGCGTCCCCCAGCCATACTCAAGCCGTCTTGTGCCGCTTCCCTCCCGAGTTTAAAAAGTACCAGGTGAAAGTGGTAGCAAACCGTGTGTAGAGCGGGTTGATTCCCTGACATGTGAACGTGAGCGCTGCAAGGCGGGAACACCCGCAGTCATTGATAATAGGCACTGGCTGTTTCCGCGGCAGGCACCCATGTGCCCATGCGCATAGGCGCATGCAGCGGAGCACATAAACAGCTGCTAACAGACTGCCAGGGGTGGGCCAACAGTGCAAACGCTCCCTTGTGCTTCCTCCATGGTATCCTCCCGCTTCATTTGCTGCAGTGTGAACGGGAACACCACGACCAAGCCGTTCCAGGTCTGTTCCGGGTCTCATTTGCCACGACTCCCTAGCGCTTCAAATTGCCAGTCTGAAATCAGCCTAAGAGAGTCTTTGGTTTTATTATAGTAATTATTGTACAATATTAGGCTGTGTGACTTAAACCAGCCTCTGTTCTATCTCCTGGTGAAGCTAGATCTGTGACTGCCAATTTGGCAAAGATCTCAGCAAAGGACTTACAAATCTTAATACAAGAAGCAGTTAACAGCAGCTGTCAATGCTATGCAAGTTCAGTTAGATTCACTATAACAATAAATGACACAGCAGATGATAGAAGTTCAAAAACAGCTTAAAGAAAACAGACAAGAAATGTCCACTTTGCCTAATGCAGTAAACCAGATGGAAGAGAAAAATGAAAAGATCCAATTTAAGGTAGATAAAGTGGAATCTAAGCAAAATTCTATGGAAGAGAGCATATATTTTAAGGTTCCAGAATATACCAGAGAAGCAAAATGAAAATTTGAAATTTATATCAGCCCACTTTTGGAAAACGCCATCTGTACTGATTGCACTTTATGTGTATATTTTGGTTAGGATTTTATTGTGATGTATTTATACTGTATTTATTGTATTTTAGCCCATGTATGCCGCCTTGAGGGAGCTGCGGTGGCTCAAGTGGTTAAGATGCTGAACTGCAGGCTGTGGAAGGTCAGTAGTTCAGCAGTTCAAGACCCGGGTGCCGCAAGACAGGGTGAGCTCCTGTCTCTAGTTCCAGCTCCTGCCAACCTAGCAGTTCGAAAGCAAGAAATTGCAAGTAGATAAATAGGTACCACTTCGGTGGGAAGGTAACAGCGTTCCGTGCGCCTTGGTGTTTAGTCATGCCGGCCACATGACCACGGAAACGTCTTCGGACAGCGCTGGCTCTTCGGCTTTGAAACGGAGATGAGCACCGCAACCCTAGAGTCGGATTAGACTGGCTTTCGAGCAAGGGAACCTTTACCTTTACCTATGCCGCCTTGAGCCTGCATGACAGGCAGGGTGGGATATAAATCTAAAGTAATAAATAAATAATAAATAATATAAAGTGTAACAACAACAGGGCTTCTGCAAATTGTCATGGGCAATGTTGACTGTGCCGGGCTCCTGGCCGAGTAGGCAGCACCGCCGGAGCACCAGCCCCTCTGACTCCTCCAGTGTTGACAGCTTGCTGCTGCCAGCGCCCAAGCCAGTAACCCCTGCACCTGGTCCTGCAGCAGCCGATGAGGCACAGGTACAAATGGAAAGTCTGCCTGATTCACCTCCGTGGGTGGCTCGGCTGAGGGAGCTGCTCCGCAGGGACTTAGCAACCCACCGCCAAGACGCACGCTGGCAGGGAAGGCGGGTGCCGAGCCCCGAGTACTGACAGGAGCGGCGGCGCCACTAAGGGAAGCACTGCCGGAGGCCTGCATAGCTCCCGCTCGGGACTGGGCTCTCTGTGGCCAGCAACCCTTCCCCCATCATTTCAATATGGTGGCAGATGGGGTCAAAGGAGGCAGTTAGTCCCCTCAGAGGCCACCTTCTCTGCCCCTTTACAGACCTCCTCAGAACAAGAAGGAACTGGCTGAGGCAGGGAGGGGGAGGTTTTGAAGAACAAAACAAGAGCTTCCAGTGATGTCATCTCTAGAAAAACACCAAGTAGTGAAACAGAATATGTAAGGTGACGCTTTTTTGTTTAAAAAGAAATTGATTGGTGTATGAAGAAAAATGTACCTTTCTGCAGGTGAAGTCCAGAATCCAGAGTGTCTGAGGAAGCAAAGGAACAGAAAGTGAGCAACAGACCCTTGTGCTTATCACAAATCTTGTGAGAAAAATATCCATTAATAAAACTATATTTTCTCTCGGGCAGGGCAGGCAGCATGGTATTTTCTCTCGGGCAGGGCAGGCAGCATGGTATAGCCCAATCCCGTCAGATCTCAGAAGCTAAACTGGGTCCGTACTTGGATGGGAGAGCAAAGAAGATGCTGCAGAGGAAGGCAGTGGGCAAACCATATTTCTTTCTCACTTGCCTCAAAGAGCTCTTCCTGGGGTCACCATAGATCAGTTGTGACGATGGCACGTATCTACGTACTTCTTCTGAGTTACAGCTAAAGTAGATTCCAAGCTACTTCTTGGAAAAACTTTATTCATGTGCAAATATTCAAATTTGTTTTCATGTGCCACTTTGAGTTCCTTGAGATCCACTTCGTAGAACGTATGCTAAGGATTATGGCCCAAGGATCCAATCAAGCCAAATTTAGGACATTTCTAAACAGAGGTCCCACAGCGCCATTCTAAGCAGAGTTACACCCTTCTAAGATCACGGGTTTCAATGGACTTAAAAGAGCGTAACTGTGCTTAGGACAGCACTATCAGCCCCCTTGAGACCATCTTGTGGGCTCAGCTGGGACATATTCATGCAAACACACATACACATTGCAAAGAGAACTGGGTCAAGGTGTCCCTGAAAGGGATTGGGTGGGTGTCTCTACTAAATGTGGATTCCCTGGAGGGCAGTTTCCTCCCCCTCCCAATCATTTTAGGTGCTTGTTTGACCCCCTACCTCACAATTTGCCCTTGCATGGCCACAGTAATGACTAGAGATCAGCAACAGAGAATAATTTTGAGAAATCCATGTAATACAATTCTGAGCTAAAGCTACAGAATTCTGATCAGAAAACTTCACCAGGGGAACTAAAATGGCCTTGTGAATTGGTACATAAATTCCCCACATTCCTGGGTCTGCTAATGATATAAGCAGCCTGGAGCAGACTAAAGCACACCTGGCCCACTCTAATGCCTTTCTTTGGCCCCGTTCACGTAGAGAAGTTGCCACGCTGAAGACACGGATGATAGGCAGATTTTTCGGGCGTGATCACACAGCAACATCTGGGAAGTGTAGTGCACCCGTGGCTTGTTGCCAAAGATGCGGAGTAAAAAACCACCACATACGATGTACTAGTTTCCGGAAAACACGGGGCAAGGGCAGGCATCTGATCGAGTTTCCGCTTGAATCCCATGGCATCCGGTGCCCGGCCATGTCCCGTTGCACACTGGATGGTTGGTTTTTTTGTAAGTCTCCACAGGATGCGCACAATCATGTGCATGCCCAAACATCAGTGAGGGGGGAAAATCCCATTTGCCACGGAAGCGGCGCCTAGCGATTGCTGGTGTGATCATGCCACGCCGCTTCTTTGCCATGCTGCAAGATAGCCGTGTGATCGGCACCTAACGACCTAACCACGGGACCTTGACAGGACATGTGATCGGGCTGCCGTGCATTACTTTACTTCAGGGCAAACGGACACGCTCCCCCCCGCGCGAAGTCCGGCCTGTGTGACCATGACCTTCATTACCTTTTAATTGCTTCTTGATGGCCTCCAAAAGGAGATTTAAATCCGAGAAGTCCCAGATATGCCACTTCAGTGCAAGAGGAAAAGCCGCTGGATTCTCAGACAACCCCCTTTCTTCATACCTGGAGAAAAATCATGTAAAGGTGCCATCCATCCAATTCAGAATCCCCCCCCCCCGGGTGGGTCAGAGAAACAGAAAACAGAACAGGTAGAAACTATAGAGAAAGTCTAGAGACACAGCACAGAAAGATTTGGGGGGGGGGCTCTTTGGAGAGGAACATCCACCTCACTGTAGCTCCTACTTTGTTAAGAGCTGGGCCTGGGTTCCACTCAGCCACATAGTGGCTGCAAGCTATGCTCCCTCTAAGCTGTGGAGCCTTGTGAGCAAAAATTCTACTTTGTGAGCTGCTGGCATTAAAGTTGTGAGTGAGCAATTTGGCTACTGCATACATTAGTTTGCTCTGGAGCCCTCCTTCCTGAGCTAAGAGGAAAATGTGTGAGCCGGAGGCTAAAAAACTGTGAGCCAGCTTCACACTAACTCGGCTTAGAGGGAACACTGGCTGCAAGGAATGGCTGCCACAACAAGATAAAACCCTTGTGGGCTCAGATTGCCACCATGTTAGGGGGAGCTCCTGCTCCCCTCCCAGCTTGTTTCGCATCCTGAAATAGCACTGGGGAGGTCTATCTGCCCATTTTTGCTGCTCCTTGTGGACTATTTTGGGCAAAAACAGGGAAACTCCCTGCCCCAGCACTGTCTTGGCATGAAACAACGACTGAGGGAAAGGGAAGGCAGGAGCCTGTCCTCTCCCACAGCAGCAGCTGAGGCCTAAACAGGGTCTGCTTTTTTAAAAAACACTACCCATTCCCTGTGGCTGCCCTACTGAGCCCAGGCAAACCTCTTAAAAAACCAAACATCTAGTTCGGCCCCAAGAACAGCCACCCCACATCCCCTGCTCCTATCTGTCTTGCAAATGTCTGTGTAAAGAAAAAGAAAGCTGGTGAGAGTTCTGGACTAGGACTGCAGGACCCTGGTTCAATCCCACTCTCGGCAAGCAGCTCCCTGGGTGACCTAAGACTAGTTTCTCTCTTCCTCTCATAAAGGGTTCTCCTGAGGAGAAAATGGAGGAGGGCGGATTTAGGTACATCACCCTGACGTCTTTTCCTCCCTCTCCCATAGAACTAGAACTGAGGTGTTATGTCTTAAGTGAATAAAGCAATATTTAGCTTAAGCGTAAATTCATTGTCAGGCAAGGCAGGGTATAAATACAAATAATAAATAAAATAAAACAAAACAGTGTTTGAATTGAAGAACTAACCAATCACAGAAGCCTATGTTTTCGGCGGGAACCTCTTTCATAGGTTCCAAGCCCTTTAATTCTATTGGTTGTTATCTGTTTGTTGGGTGTGGTTTACCCCTGTTCAAATCGTATATAAGTCAGCCTGGTTCTATGCAATCTTGTCTTGCGTTGTTATGAGCTGAATAAAAGAAATCACTTGTTTAAGAGCTGCCTCGATCTCAGTTCATAATATGAGGGGTACCCAGTGAAGTTGTTGAGAATTGACTGCAGGCTGAGGTAGTGATGGCCACCAGCACAGAGAGCTTTCAAAGGGGATTAGACAGATTCATGAAGGAGGGGGTCTGTCAACAGCTACTAGACACGGGGACTGAAGGGAGTCCCCATATCCAGAGGCAGCAAACCTCTGAGCACCAGGGCTAGCAGGCAGAAGCAGGGGAGGGCCTCAGCCTCTGTGCTCAGTTTGATTGGCCCTCCAGGACAACTGGGTGGCCACTGCATGAAAGAGGATGCTGGCCTAGGTGGAGCATTGGCCTAATCCAGCAGGCTTTTCTTAGGTTCTTAAGAGTGTGGCGGATACATGAAGGAAGAAAACACGCCACGTGACTTCACTGTACCCAGATACGCCCCTATTTATCTCCCGTTTAATCATTTGCCACTTGTGGGGGGAGGGGCCTAGACATTTGAGCCCAATAATGTCACATGACAATTCTTCATCTAGATCTGTCTGCGGAGAGGTATAGGTTAAGTACAACGTTTCTGATCAACAGCCGTGTACTCCCCATAATGGGTTGTTCTGCTTGAGAACACTTGCTTTCGGACGCTCTGCTGTTATACTGGGGCTGCCAATATGGTGCAGGAGCAACATGGGTTCCGGATACTGGGCTTCCTCCCCCCCCCAGTTGCCATGGCAGCCATTCTTTGCTGGGGGGAGGGGCTTTTCTTAAATGGCACCTGACATAATGCCAAGATGCTGATGGGGGGGGGGAGTCAAAAAAGCATCCTGGTAGCATTTAGGGGGCATCCCCACTTCCCCAGAGCACTGAATGTAGGCCAAGGTGCCAGTGTGGGAACAGCCAAAGTGTCATCTGAACAGGAACAGCACATTTTGGTGTCATGCTGTGACAGGAACACTGATGTAAACATGGCATACAGTCCAACTCCTGCTTCCCTGTGTGTTGTCTCACCCTACATTCCTTAACACGTGGAACGCATGAGATTGCACTGGGCGGTCACCACAGTGCTCAATCAGTAAAATGCCACCGTAGCCAGCCCCAATGCCAACCAAGGCATTATTTGGACCAAGTAAAGTTTGCCACCTGCCATTTTGTGGAATGAATGCAGCTGAGGAGACCTGAACTCTGTATTTCCTGGGGTATTTTGTAAAAATGTTGCTTTGACAGAAGCTGCCACCGCAGCACGAGGATCTTCAGGGTGTGACTGAAGGTAAGTTGGCCGCATCTCCTGTGGCTGTGCCCACCACACACCACGTCAGGATTTCAAAGGCGGCCTGCCGCCTCAGAAAGATAGGGGAGACCCTTGTTCTAGAAAGGCACAGCTAGGTGTCAGCCCAGACCCACCCACACACACATACCAAATCCTATTTCAGCACACAATTGCCCGTTGATCAGGCTCTGTGCATAAGCTGTTTGCCATTACAGACAGATGGAGATCTATGCTCTTAGTTACCCCTGATTTGGCCCCGAGTCAAGATCCCAAAGGACCACATTCTCCACAGGCTACCCAGTCCAATCCCAGCATTAAGAAGGTTAATGTTAAAGGTCCACTTACCTTTGCAAGATGCTTCTGGCATCCTAAAGAAAAAAGGCACAGAGAGAGAGAGAGAGAAAAGAGAGGCCTCAGTGCCTGCTAACAGACCACACCAGGAGGACCCCTCAAACCCTGGAAGATTCTGCACTCGGCCCTTTTGCTTCTGTCTAGCTTGCAGACTTCACTCAAGGACTGGGGTAGATCTTCATAAAGTGGGAGAAAACCTCTGTGAGGTTAATACCAGTAAACAAAAGGGAGCCATTACAGAGCAGAGCTGGGTGATCTGCTTTGACAACTCCACAGTGGTGACTTTCACAAAGGGATTTTCCCTCACATGGAAGGCAGGAAGCCCTTAGATTAGGGTGTGTACCCTTGCGGCCACCTGCAGATGCAGAGGCACTCCTAGCAATGTCCCTTGCCTCAGCCCTGTGTCACTGTGATTTCCCTTCTTTTCACTGGAGGGCATTTCCCAGGCTTAAAAATAAAATGTAGCTTTTACTAGCATTGGAACAACATACTGATCCCCAGCTTTCATTTTTTAAACAAGAAAGTCCTTACTGTTGCAGAGTTATAACTGGAAATGTGCAGTGTTGCAGGATAATAAATTCCCCTGGAGTCCTAAGGGGCAATGGAACCCCCAGTACCCTTTTTCCAAGTTCAAGTTTGGTAGGAGACCACTGACTTGCATCCAGACCCCAGAGGTGGAAAAAAGGAACAGTCTCCAATACTGACAGTTCTTTTACTTCATTCAGCTAAATACTAAGATAACCAGAATGCTCAGAGTGTATGTAAAACAGTGTACATGTACTGATCAATAATAAAGAGGTCTCTCGGATGCCAAAATGGAGGGCCCAACTGGCCATCAGAAAAGGCAACCCCCAGCCCCTCCAATTTGCACCTTTTATACCCTTTAGTTTCCAAGGTAGGTGTCACAAAAAATATCATACCAGTAACAAAACGCAGACCCTTCCCACTAACAGCATCATAAACAATGTGGGTTATCGGGACAGATCAAGTGTCATTTAGATAGCACCAGAGGCAGGCCTGACCTCAAGACATAACAGTTTATTCTTGGAGATGGTGCACTCTGTCTTGGAGAATACACATCATGTGGAGAGGGTACAGTTCAGCCAGTTACAGGGTGTTCCTGAGACACAGGCAAAGCTGAACTGCAATGCATTCTGGGGCAGAAACAGAATCCATCTTGTAATGATTCCATGTTTTGGTGTGTGTGTTCCTTTAAATGTTTAGTTTGAATGCAGTACTATGAGAAGAGTGCTAGAGGGTAACAAGTGTGATTTGATTGGCTGCTAACTGAGAGTGTGGGAGGAGGGGTGTCTGAGAGGATTCTGTGTGTGTGTCTATGAGGAGATTCTGTGATATGAGAGCGATAAGTATGGAAGAGTTTTGAAGAGAGAACATAGTGATGGGCTGACAGCAGCAAGCACAGCGGTGCCAGGAAGTGGTGTGTGGATGCCATTCCTGTACCCATTTGTTGTTGCTGTTGTTTGTCTGCATGCGTTTTTCTGCACGCATCCACAAGCAGCCAGTATAAGTGACTTTCCCTGCCCCCACAGATATCTTAAAAGGTGCTGTGAAAAATCTTGCAAGTGACACGTGTTCCTGGGTTTTGAAAGATCTATCAATGAACCTGGCTTTACTTGCATGTTTGTTGGTTGAGACGCAAACACAGTTTGGCTTCTGAGATGGAAGCCGGGCAGTCTCAGTCTATCAGGTAGGGGAAGGGGGCTGTTGTGGGGGGGGGAGTTTCGCAGGGCCACCGGGATTGTCCAGACTGCCCCTAGCTGTAAAGATGTAAAGGGGCAGAGGGAAAAGCGGCCCACGTACTGAGGTGAAAACTTGCTAGGAACATAAACTGGGCTTGTTTGCTTTTCTGCTAAGCCAAAGAGGCACAGAGAGGACTTGGAGCCCGGGCTGTTCCTGCCACCCCCTCACCTGCAGGAGATCTCCGGCCGACTGCTGACACTTCTCCTCCATCTCCCGGATGAGGCTGTCCAGAGAGGAGAGCGACTCAGAGAGTTCGGCCAGGTGCCAGTCCCTTTTCTTTGCCACCTCCTTCTCCACCTCTTCCACCTGGGCCAGCAAAAGTCTCTCTTGTTCCTCCAGAAATTTGTGCAGTTCCCTGAACTTGGCTACCGTCTCTTGCTTCTCTCCTGTGGTTTGCTTCTGAAATGGACAAAGAAGAAAAGGAGGCCAGTGTCAGGAGCACAGCTAGTCTCTGCAGGGGGAAAAGACACTTGAGGAGGCCCCTATCCTAGAAACACCTCTGGGGGGCCAAAGAGCTCAGAAGCCCCTTCCCCTCACTTGGTCTCCCACTCTAAACTGTAGCTTCCCTGCCTGCATTCTGGGCAAGAATAAATTGTGTGTGTGTGTGTGTGGGAAATTTACACACTACTGAGTATCCCAAGTCCCCCCCCCCCCAGAACCATCAATGGCTGAATCCCCCTTGGCTCAATTCGACATCGTTGGGGTACCAAAGCATTTCAGGGAGGGGGGCAAAGATTTCTCCTGGGCTGCTTGTTGGCGCATTCACACAGACGGGGCCTGGACACAGATCTCCTTCTGCCTAGGATTCACCCCACAGTAGAGAGTGCCTTGGAAAGTCAACTGATTCCGCCCCAAACAAAAACACCTGAGAACAAAACACAACAAATAAAAAGATTCTAGATCTGGTGAACAACCAGGGGCAGACTGCCCACTAGGGCACCCTCAGTGATCGCCTAGGGTGCCAGAGGGCGGGGAGTGCCAGGGGCACAAGAGTGTGCAGTTCCGCACCATCCCCAGCCAGCCCCACTACCCAGGTCCGCTTAGAACTGTTAAGTCTACCATAGAGCTGCCTTGGGGGGCCTGGTCTGTTGAATACGGACCACCTGTACATAGATCTCCCAGAGAGGGATGACAGCCTCCAGGTGGGGCCTGGGGATCCCCCAGAATTACAGCTCACCTCTAGACTACTGAGATATGTTCTCCTGGAGAAAACAGGTGCTTTGGAGGGTGAAGTCTGTGGCACTGCGCCAGTCCTGGATCAACCATTAAGTAAAACAAGCCCATGCTTCAGGCACCCCCTAGCTGTCATGCCCTTAACTCTTTCACTGCCACACTCGACTTCAATTTAGTACTAAACAAATAATATTTTTTAAAAACAAATAATATTTTATATTTTTAATATAGTTGTGTGGGTCTGGCCTGGGAAATGGCTTGGAAGAAAAATGAATTTTTAATCTCATCTGAATTTAGTTCACCTTCAGCACTTACTGAGTCTTAACATCTTGTCAGTTAAGACATGGGAGGGCCGAGGGGCAGCATTGTTGGGCTGTGCGGAGGTCATCAGCTGGCCTTAATCCGGCCCTGCATTGAACCAGGCCCCACTGAGGTCCCTGCCCTCCCCAGGCTCCATCCCTCAATCTCCAGGAGTTTCCCAGCCTGAATCTGGCAACCCTGCCCCCCCATCCCCTCATGGTTGGTTAGGGGAGACCTGGAAACCCCACCTCCAAACTGAAGGGGGGGCTGGTGGGTTGACTTTTCTGCTGTTTGGGCTCTGTTCACTCCCCAGGCACAGGGACACTCACGAGCAGGTCTTGGCTTTCCTTCTCCACATCTTTTTTATGCACCACGATTCTCTCTCTCTCCTTCTTCAGAATCGCCAGACAGTCGCGGAACTGATCCTGCGGGGGGGGGGGTGTCCAAAATGGAAATGTGTTACTTTTTAAAGGTTTTCCCCGTGCTCTCCCTCCTGCCCAAACACATGCACACTCACTCCTAACCACAGGCTGGATTTCTCACACTGAAAAAAATTATTTGTAGTCAATATATCACTATTTTGTGTTAACACTCCAGCAATATATCCAGTACCACCAACTGTAAAAAGAAATGGCAAAAAGCCCAGTGACAGGGGAAGTGGAAATCAGTACATTCCACACTTCTTCAAAAACCTCTTTTGATACGATATTTAAAGAATTATCCAAAGCAGGTTTGGGAAAAAACTGCAGAAGAGCCACAGAAAACGGGGAAGGTGAGTGGGGAAACCACAGTGTCGTGCCAAACTTAAATCCCCTGCAATCTCAGAGGGGGCTCTGCGGCAAGAATTCTGGGCAGAAGCAACCACAGTTGTGAGAAGGAGGGGGGAGGAGGATTCCTTGTAGTGCCACAGTGCAGTGGGAGGGCCGTGGCTCAGTGGCAGAGCACTTGCTTCGCTAGCAGAAGATCCCAGGTTCAGTCTCCCGGCATCTCCACTTGAAACGAAGAGGTATCAGTTGATGTGACAGGTCTCCACCTGAATCTCTGGAGAGCCACTGCTAGTCAGAGTGCACCTGGAGAGACCAAGGCAGAATAAGGCAGCTTCATGTGTGGCTCTCCCACCCCCCCAATACTGTTATTCTGATTTAAACTGCTACTTCACACCTACAGTTTACGAGGGAGGGAACACATACAGGTACCAAACCTGCACACGTTCTCCCCCAGATCCAAGGCAAACAGCAACTCCAGGACAACAACTGAAATCGGGAAAGCGGTTGGGGGGGGGGGAGGAATTAAAAGTGGGAGTCAGGCAGCTGCCCCTTCTACCTCACCCACACAATCGGCTGACTGGATGTCCCCCCCCCTTTGAGTTCTCTCTCTCCTCTTCACCCCCTCCCACTTTGTAATCCCTTCCTTGGCAATGGGTGATTGCATCATCCCTGGGTTCTACTACTATCAGTACAGCAATTTAACCTGATTTGCAATCATACATCATAAATATTTACAAAATCTATATGCAAGTTACAGTGAGTCGTGATATAGCTCATAAAGGCGCACCAAGTCAGCAGCTTCATGCGTAGCTCTCCCTCTTCCCAATACTGTTCTTCTCATTTAAAATGCTACCAACCTCACAGCTATGCTGTGCAAGCGGGGGACACACACAGACAGGTACCAAACCTGCACACATTCTCCCACAGCCCCAAGGCAAACAGGAAAAGTAGTGTGTTGGGAGGGGGGGATTAAAACTGGGAGTCAGGTGGCTGCCCCCTCCTAGCTCAGCCACACAGTCAGCTAACCAGATGTCAACACAGCCGGAGAGGAAGCGAGCATCTCCCCATCTCACCCCATGCTGGCCTCAGCAGGGGGTGCAGGAAGCAATGCCCCAAGGGAGACGCCAAGCCAGGAGGGAGGCAGCAAAGAGGTGTTGCCACTCCCCCATTTGGACCCAGAGGCAGGGGTGGAAAACAAAGGGAATTTCCCTGCAAAGAGACAAAAGAGACCCCACCAAACTCCACCTGCTGGATCTCCTACCTTGTACTCTTGGGAGGCCTCCTCCAGAGGAAGAGTTTCATGATTTCTGTGCTCCTTAGATCGGTCACAGACCACACAGATGAGGGCTTCGTCGTCCTTGCAGAAGAGCTTCAGGGGCTCCTGGTGCTTCTGGCAAACTCCCCCTTTTCCGGCTGCCACCACTGCCTGATGCCCCCCAAAAGAAAAAGGATTCATTTTATTTTTTCTCTCCTCTAGAACTGTATTTCTCCTTGTAATGACTAAATATAATTAAGAGTCTCGTTCTGTTAAAAAATAACACACACAAGCAGGATGTAACCAAGTGTAACCCTATGGGTATGGCTTTCAGTTGGAGTTTGGGGAAGGGAAAGGTCTTTTGTCCGTGTGAGGGAGCCGGAGAAAAAGGTACTGAGGACAAAGAGAGTTCTGAGGAGAAAAGGGAGAGAGAAGCCATCTGAGTCCCTGAGAAGACAGGGAAGCCCAAGAAGGAGCCTCTGGAGATCTGAAGCCACACCAAGAGCCCCAAGAGCCCCACCACCACCACCACCACCGAGGGCCAGTCAAGCTGCAGCAGCAAAGACTGAGGGGGAGAGACCTGCAGACGGCCTCGGACACACACAGCAGAAGACTCTCATCACCACCTCCTTGGTTACCCCTTTAAGTTATGTTGCCTAGGAGTTTACTATACAAGAACTGTGCTTAGAACAGAAGAGAAGCCAACGTTGGGTCAGGCCAATGGCCCATCCAGTCCAACACTCTGTCGCACAGTGGCCAAAAATACCAGGTGCCCTCAGGAGGTCCAGCAGTGGGGCCAGGACACTAGAAGCCCTCCCAGTGTTGCCCCCCCCCAAGCACCAAGAATACAAAGCATCCCTTGCCCCAGACCGAGAGTTCCTATCTATACCTGGTGGCTAATAGCCACTGATAGATCTTTGCTTGTAGCCGCTGCCACCTCCTGTGACAGTGAATTCCACGTGTTAATCACTCTTCGGGTGAAGAAGTGATTGGCTTGATTTCTCCACTCCTCCACTTTGGATTAAACCCTACTTGTATCCTAATTTCTACTTGTAAAAGGTTATCAGCGATTGTAGGGTCTGGGAGTTAATGTCAAATTTCCCCTTTTTTACTTACTGGCCATTTCCCCCCCCCCCCCCC